GACCACTTCATTAAGCTGAAGTGGTCTGGGTGCCTAGAGTGGTCCTTTAAGGAAAAGATGAGGAGGGAGTAACAAACAGCTGAGCGTTGGAATGTAGAGAGGATGGTATGTCAAAGAGAATGATTTGTGGGAAATGGAAAGAAGGCGACTAGGAGACAAAAAAAGAGAGATATTAATGGAGATAATTACTTTATTAAAGGAGTATTGTGTGAAATTAGTTGGGAGGATAAACACAACATGCAATTGGTAACTGTGTATTTTTATAGAACTTTGTATTATTTTTGTGTGGCTTAGTAATATGCTCTTTCATTCATCATAGTAACCTAAGTGAACTCTGTTGCAATCTTACCCACAGTATATAGAGACGTGGAGTAGCAGAGTGGGCAAAAAAACTACAGGGGAAACCATTAGCTTGTGTTCTCAGCATTCCAGTAATGACATCATTGATAACCCTGCCAAATGTAAGGTCTAGAGCTGCCCTTCTGGCGAGTGCTCCCCATCTAGTAGAGAGATTCAAAAGAGACTGTAATTTTTTTAACATTAAATTACTCTGAAAGTGATATAAAAATCATTTGAAGATCTGTCAAAAGTGAGATGCTTGGACACAGTGGTAGGCTAATTATCAATAATATATGACTATTGACTATACATGGTTCAATCTTAAAATGGCACTGTCAGTGTCAAGATAGGATCTCTATGAAATACTAATTTTGGCTGCGTTGGAATTTCACTGAAATTTAAACCCAGACAAGAGATATACAGAAATAAAGAAGGCACTACTTTGTCTCTGTTCCATGATTCCTTTTGTTTCAGTTGGAGCCTGCAGGCAGTTGTTCAACCTTCTGTCCTTTCTTACAGGTCATAAACTATCTTGGAGTCTACACACGCCCAAGAATCCTAGGTGGGGATTATACCACCTATGCGATTATATTGAGCAGTATATCCTGCTCATTTAAATGTGAGTACTTTTATTCTTTTCTTTTATTTTATTTTATTTATATTCAGTGAGCACTATATTTTGCTCTTATCTCCTTTCTATACCGAGGAATTATCTACACCTGTATCCTACCAGTGGGGGACAGACGCCACTGAATGCCAATCATACTAGAGCGAGTTTATGCTCTTGAATAGGTGAGTGAATTACCTCCCTATTATTTCTCCTATCCTTACTTATCAGTATACAGTCTACACTATTGGATCGCCTTTGTTTTTCTATTTCTATGTTCCTCACCGAGTCAAGACTCCCCCAATATTAGAGGATCCAGTCTCCTATTGGATATACCATCCATCAAAGTCTTCATATACCTATTGGAACTCGTAAGAAATACACAAAGTATTGAGACTACCATCCATCAAAGTCTTTATATACCTACTGGAACTCATAGGAAGCATACCAAGTATTTGGACTATTATCTACATACTCCCTTCCATTTATGTTTTTTTAGTGTGAGTAGAGAATATTTATCTTTTTCTATTTACTATTATTTTTTCTGTAGCGCGACCTATTATTTCTGTTTTGCCACTACTTTGTCTCTGAATATTTCCTCCGCCTGACTTTCTCAGACCTTGAGCGGAGTATTAAGTGTCAATCCCAACAGTCTTCATCAGTGACTGCTGCTGGATATTGGCTGTGTCTTGTGGGATCTTCCATAGACCTTGATGCTGTACTTTCCTGCTCCAGTGACGTTGGTGTAAAAGAGGACCCTATCAGATCAGGATTACTGCGCCCATGAGGGACAGATTCAAGTAAGTAAACTCATCTTTACTTGCCCCCCCCAGCAGTGATGTCACCCTTTGGGGACTTTGCAAATTTGGAAAAATCCCCAAAGGGTGATAAAGCTTTTTTAATTTATCATTACAGAAAGTTGTTTATGTGCAGCCCTCTTAGATCTATACCTTTTTGTATGGTATGGACTATTCCCATTATGTATTAAGTGTACAGCTAGTTAAGAACACCTTATATATATATATTCTATGCACACTTCTTGCCTATATGATTGAGGTTAGCCACATTTTCACCAGTTTGTATTTATTTACAGTGTATAGAGTAGTTCAAGATATATCTGAACGGTATGATGTGCTCCAGACCAATTCCCTAACATTTTCTTCAGAATGAATGTCCTCATTTCATTGCAGCCAGAGAATTTGCAGAGCAACTTCTGAAATGGCTTTAACATTCACTGTGATCAGCAGACTCCACATGATGTGATCTGCTACACAGTTCACTGTTTTGTTTTTTACTTTCAAATAACTGATGCTTTATACATTTTTTTTTCAGTAGGAAAAGGCTTGACATTTCAGATTAATATATAATCATAAAGCACTGGTCAGCATATCAAGGACTTTAAATAAATGATGATGTTTCTCTCTGATCATGGTAATATGTATCAAATGTCATTGTATTTTCTTTTAAAGAAAAAAACGTGAAATATACAGGGAGTATGGGAGTATATTTGATCAGAGGCAAAACGTTGAAGAGAAACTCTTATAGTATGGCATTATAAGAAAGAAAATTCATTATCTCCAAGGATAGATGTTAAAATGTATTCACTCAAAATGATGAGGTGAATTTTAAAAATGACCTGCAAACTGTATGGCAAAATTTCAACTGCATAATTAGAAAAGGTACGATGGGGCAGAAATCTGTATTCTAAATGCTATATTATCCCACTCTGTAGCTGGTTTCATGTGTGTGTGTCCAACCCCCCCATTTGCCATAAAAATTCCACTTGCGCATTCAAACTACATCAGTGCAGCGGAAGACCCTCTACTGTCTGTCATACTATGGTGGGCTTAATCCTGCAATATAAACATTAAGGTTTCTCAAAATATAGTAGGGGTAAGAGAACAGGGACACTGCACCTAGTCCACTTCCAGGGCCACCATCAGGAAGTGACAACCAAAATGGTTGTCACGGGCCCAGCGGCCCTGGGGGGCCTGGGCCACACGTGGAGCAGCGAAACTGCCGCAGGTGCATCTGCACCGGGGCCCATCAGGTGGCCCAATATCTTCAGGGGCCCGGTCAGCGCTGCGGCCGGGTAATTGTGCGACCCCTTTAAAAACAAATTGCGGCTGCACCGCAAATGCTGCTGGGAGGAAGTGAGAGCAGCAGGAGAGCGGAGGAGAGGGAGAGCGGAGGCCAGGAGAGGACACCAGAGGCATCCACTACCATCATCCCCAGCCACCCTCCTGCAACGTAAAGGTAAGAGGAGGGTGGCTGATAAATGAAGTGTGTGTGTATATTGTGATAGAATTTATCTTGATTCAAAGGCTCAAGCTTATAGGTGTCATATAATGATATCCTATATTAAAATTGGCTAACTTGGACTCAGGAAATGCTTGATACTTAAACAACACTTAAGACCATATATGTCTAAGTTCCGGGAGCAGAGAGCCCCCACCTAAGATGTCTCTGCTCTAATCATTTTGTTCTCTCTTACCTTGAAACTTATTTGTTATGGGTACATGACGCTCATCCCTATGTCCTATCTGTATTCTCTTCCTATTACTGTTCTAAGAGTATTTGCATGTAAGCACTTACTTTTTAATGTATAAAACCCAGCTGATGAATAAAACGTCAGAGGCTTATTTTGAATACCAACAGGTGTCTAGTGTCTAATTCTCGCTTCTCCAAGTGCACTTGTAACAACAATTTGGGCTTCCTCTGAATATAACAAAGATCAACATTTCTGATCCACAACAATTTGGTGCCGAAACCCGGGACCTCACACATAAACATAGTGTGAATGGTTGTACTTCTGATCTTTTTGTAAATTCACTTTCACCAGATGAGTTAGCTGATGCCCAGGTACCCCATGATTGTGCAGCACTAATGGCACAAGAGACAGCAGGTTTTTTGCATGTATTTGATTCTCCATTATCTAATGCAGATTTTGAGTTTTTTGTAGATGGTTCCAGATATGCTGATGAGAAGGGTAATTTCCACACTGGATATGCTGTAGTCTCTGCACATGAGGTAATAAAAGCTGAACCACTCGTTCCTCACTGCTCTGCACAGGAGGCAGAGCTGATGGCACTCGCTGAAGCGTGTAAAATGGCTTCTGGTAAGACTGCTAATATTTATTCAGACTCTCGCTATGCTTTTGGTATAGCCCATGATTTTCTCACCTCAGCAGGAACTCCAATCAAGAATTCTGAAGCCGTGAGTGCACTTATGGACGCTATCCTGCTACCCACTCAAGTAGGCATCATCAAGGTGGCAGCTCCCGTGAAGATCACAGATGAAATCTCAAGAGGAAACCACAAAGCAGACGAAGCTGCCAAGCAAGCAGCAATCAAAGTTCATCCCTCTACAGGTAATACCTTTCTACAAGTTGTTCTTACATATGACGCCGTTGACTACAATATACTGTTGAGCTTACAAAGACAGGCAAGCAAGGAAGAACATGACCTCTGGAGGAAACAAGATGCAGAACCTGATGATGACAGAATGTGGAGGAAAGGTAAAAGACTGTGTTTACCACGAGTGTTGTACCCCATGATGGCCCAGATTGCCCATGGACCTACACATCTATCCAAGATGCACATGAACAGCATAGTAAACACCCATTGGGTAGCACCCGGATTTACTGTTGTAGCAGCTAAACACACCCAAGCTTGCATGATTTGTGCTAGAAACAATCCAGGACAAGCTGTGAAAACACCAAGTAAGCACACACCAAGGCCACTTTACCCGTTTCAAAGACTGCAGATAGACTATATTCAACTACCTAAGGTAGGAGTGTATGAATATGTGTTGGTGTGCATTGATAACTTTTCAGGTTGGCCTGAGGCCTACCCAGTGTCGAAAGCCACAACGAAGGTCACAGCAAGTAAGCTTCTGAAGGAACTGGTATGTAGATATGGAGCACCTGAAGTGATTGAAAGTGACAGAGGTAGCCATTTCACTGGGGAAATAATGCAAGAAATTATGAAAGCCCTAGGGATCAGTCAGGTCTTCCACACCCCCTATCACCCTCAGAGTAGTGGGAAAGTAGAAAGGGCAAATGGCACCTTAAAGAACAAGATTGCAAAAGCCATGCAAGACACAGGAAAGCCCTGTACTGAATGCCTTCCCCTAGCACTCTTTTCTATGAGATTCACCCCCAATTCCAGACATGGCTTATCCCCTTTTGAGATCCTGTTTGGATGTGCCCCAAAGACAGGCCTCTATTTTCCCCAAACACTACAGATGCAGCATGGTAGTATGACTGCCTATGTTCAGGCCCTACACCAAAGATTAGGCAGGGTGCATAAACAAGTCTTTGATTCTATTCCAGATCCAGACTCTGATTCTGCAACTCCCAAACTGCAACCTGGTGATTGGGTGGTGATAAAGAGGCATGTGAGGAAAGGACTTGAACCACGCTTTGACGGTCCATTCCAAGTGCTCTTGACTACGGCTACCTCAGTGAAACTAGAAGGAAAAGCCACGTGGATACACGCCAGTCACTGTAAACAAGTCACTCCGACTGATCCACCAACATGAAGCTGTTCTTATCCTTTACCATTTTATACTGTGTTCAGATATGCTACTCTGACTTGAGACCAGAAAATAATAATGCATGGCAGGAAAATATATGGTTGCAGATAGCAAAGGCTTTTAATTTAACTTCCTTTTGCCTCAACCCTCTCCTCAGTACTGAAAACGCCATAGAATCTTGTCTTTTAGCTGTCCCTACCCCCATCTCACTGTTAAGAAAGTACCTACATACCCATAGACCCCATAAATCTCTACAACTATATTCTTATGCCTTCAACCCACTCGTAGGCAAGCCTCCTCTAGCCCTGAAGACAATTAATGTGACAGGCACTGAACTATGTTGGTCTTTTTCATGTAATTGTTCAAGAGACCCTAATACTGAATCCCTGTTTTGCCCCACATGGTGGAAAAATACCACGAATTGTAGAGCCCTCAACACCACTATGAATTGTAGCAAAACTCACCAAGTTATGAGTTACCACTACAATGTCTATCTTCCTAAAGGATGGACTTTCTCCTGTGGAAATATTACTTATGCTTATGTCCCAGGTAACATTACAGGAGGTCCCTGTGCAATCTCTCGCCTAACCATGACCATGTTTTCCAAATCTGACCTGATCACTAAAACCACCCAGCTACACAAACTGCTGAGAGACAGGAGAGACAGGAGAGATGTTAAAAACACCCTTAATGCAGATTGTAACCCAGAAATCACTCTCTTATCTAAAGCCGAATACTCTGCCCTAGCGTACACCTTGGTAGGAGTCCCAGGTTTAGCATTGTATAATACCCGAGTAGTAAATGCTGTAGCTTGTTCCCTTGCAAAAGGTTTAAATGCCACTTCACAGGCCCTAGAAGAGCTACTTATGGACAGCCAGGCAAATAAGAAGGCAATCCTTGAGAATAGAGCAGCCATTGACTACTTACTAATGAAACATGACTTAGGCTGTGAAGCTATAGAAGGTATGTGCTGTTTTAACCTATCTGACCATGGCACTATGATCCATAAACATATAAAAGATTTACATGACTTAGTACAGGATATCAAACAGGATACTGGCTTCTTTGGGGATTGGGATTGGACATTTGGGCTAGGAACATGGTTGACTTTACTAATTAAGAAGATTTTGTACTTTTTGCTATTAGCTGTATTTGTCATTATGGCTATTTTTCTAACCTTTAGATTTTTTTCATGTCTACTAACCTCTCTATGTAAAAGCAAACCTACTATTGGTCGTACCTTAACTTACATTTCAGATCCGACTTCGAAAAGGTTTTATGATGTTACCTCGCTTAACAAATGAAGGAACTCTCCTCTGCTGATTCTGGTGATCTCTCAGTCCAAGGGAACCGTGGTGAAGCAATAAATGAAAGTCCCACAGGCTTTGGCTAGCAGGCCTGGATATACCTTGGACATTTGGGTGACCCTTGGATCAAAAGAGGGGATTGTGATAGAATTTATCTTGATTCAAAGGCTCAAGCTTATAGGTGTCATATAATGATATCCTATATTAAAATTGGCTAACTTGGACTCAGGAAATGCTTGATGCTTAAACAACACTTAAGACCATATATGTCTAAGTTCCGGGAGCAGAGAGCCCCCACCTAAGATGTCTCTGCTCTAATCATTTTGTTCTCTCTTACCTTGAAACTTATTTGTTATGGGTACATGACGCTCATCCCTATGTCTTATCTGTATTCTCTTCCTATTACTGTTCTAAGAGTATTTGCACGTAAGCACTTACTTTTTAATGTATAAAACCCAGCTGATGAATAAAACGTCAGAGGCTTATTTTGAATACCAACAGGTGTCTGGTGTCTAATTCTTGCTTCTCCAAGTGCACTTGTAACAACAATTTGGGCTTCCTCTGAATATAACAAAGATCAACATTTCTGATCCACAACAATATGTATGTATGTCAGTATGTATGTGTGTGTGTATGTAAGTATGTATATATGTCTGTATGTCTGTGTGTATGTCAGTATGTATATATGTCTGTATGTTTGTGTGTATGTCAGTATGTATACAGTTGCAAGAAAAAGTATGAGAACCTTTTGGAATTATATGGATTTCTGCACAAATTGGTCATAAAATGTGATCTGATCATCATCTAAGTATCATCTGCACTGTGAACGTTTACATGGTGTGTTTAATAAAAACATGGCAACATTTAATTCTTTGTGTGTGACTTAGATGATGATCAGATCACATTTTATAACCAATTTGTACAGAAATCCATATCATTCAAAGGGTTCACATACTTTTTCTTGCAACTGTATATGTCTGTTTGTCTGAGTGTATGTCAGTATGTATATATATATGTATGTCTGTGTGTATGTCAGTATGTATATATGTATGTGTGTGTGTGTGTGTCAGTATGTATATATGTCTGTGTGTCTGTGTGTATGTCAGTATGTATATATGTCTGTGTGTGTGTGTATGTCAGTATGTATGCCTGTGTGTATGTCAGTATGTATATATGTCTGTGTGTGTGTGTCAGTATGTATGTGTGTATGTATGTCTGTGTGTATGTCAGTATGTATGTCTGTGTGTATGTCAGTATGTATATATGTATGTGTGTGTATGTCAGTATGTATATATGTCTGTGTGTGTGTGTATGTCAGTATGTATGTCTGTGTGTATGTCTGTGTGTGTGTATGTCAATATGCATGTCTGTGTATATGTCAGTATGTATATATGTCTGTGTGTGTGTCAGTATGTATATATGTCTGTGTGTATGTCAGTATGTATATGTCTGTATGTATGTCTGTCTGTGTGTGTGTGTGTGTGTGTGTGTCAGTATGTATGTACTATGTATGTATGTATATATCTATCAGTATGTATGTCAGTATGCATGTATGTCAGTATGTATGTCTGTGTGTATGTCAGTATGTATATATGTCTGTGTGTGTGTCAGAATGTATGTATGTATGTCAGTATGCATGTATGTCTGTGTGTGTATGCCAGTATGTCTATATGTCTGTATGTATGTCTGTCTGTCTGTCTGTCTGTGTGTGTGTGTGTGTGTGTGTCAGTATGTATGTACTATGTATGTATGTATATATCTATCAGTATGTATGTCAGTATGCATGCATGTATGTGTGTGTATGTCAGTATGTCTGTATGTATCTGTGTATATATATATATATATATATATATCTGTGTGTGTATGTATGTGTATGTATGTATATTAGTATGTATGTGTATGTATGCCATTATGTATGTATGTCAGTATGTATTTATGTGTATGTACGTCAGTTTGTATGTATATCAGTTTGTATGTATGTCTGTTTATCAGTATGTATGTATGTCTGTATGTCTGTGTGTGTCTGTATGTCAGTATGTGTGTGTATCTGTATCTGTGTATTAAAAGGGTTAATGCTGTTCTGGACTCAACTCCCCTCGATTCTCCGGTCACCATAATCAATATTGATGGAGAATCATTGTTAGCAATAAAGACTCGGACACCACAAATGTGCTTTAACAAGATTCTCAGTGAGTATATTTTCAGGGCTAGCACTTATACATTCATTTGAATTCTTAATTAGTAAATAAACATTTGCTTTTCTGCCAGTGTCATGTTTATACTGAAGCCAGACCTCAGTTATTTAGTCAAGAACATATTATGTCATATTAATGCTATGACAGTTCTTACTTGACTGTGATCCCTAGAACTTTTCAATGTCTTCTTAATGATAAGTCCAGCATTATGCAAACCCCAAAATAAGTTTAACCATGCTATTTACTTATATCAAACCCTGAAACCAAAGCACTGGATCCGTAAATATGGGAGAATCTGAATAAGAAATTAACTTGTTCTTCAACTCAAGTAGGATAAGAGTTCCTTGATATTAAAAAAGACACTCCACTGCCCAAATCCCACCCCCAACATAAAAGGCACTGTTATCCAACAATTTTTTTGTTTAAAAAAGAAACAGTTATCTGTACACTTCCCCACATTTTTGCCTGAAGCTGAAGAAAGCAAGATGAACTGTTATCGACCCACCTAAGAGTTTGGCCTTAACATGGCAGGTGGGCTTACAACTAATGGCCATTGGAGTGAAACAAAAAAACCTCCATTTATTTAAATTTGCATAGGGATATGGGGCAGTGCACAGGTAACTATTTCCTTTGGTTTTTAATGTATGTTTTGAGGATGATGTGTACTATGGTCATTGCTGCTGCCCAAGAGTAGTGGGAGTCTGAACTTATTTTTGTGTATTAATGTTTTTGTTTAACCATGATCTCTTTGCATTACTTATCGATAACTATCGTACATTGTTTCTGAGGGATAATATTTAGGGTTTTCTTATTTTATTATATTATGGCTTTGATGTCAGAGTGCTTGTAAGAATACAGTATATTTTTATTTTGTAGTTCTAATGCACAATATTGTAAGTACCTAAAGAGGGCAGAATTCACTTGTTCTGGTCAATCCCGCCTGCAATATCTATTTTTCCCACTTTTTCTTTTTTTATTGTGTATGTATTATTATTAATATTATCATTGGTATTTATATAGCGCCAGCTTATTCTGCAGAGTTTTACAATAAGAGGGGAATCTACTAAATGAGACAATAACAAAATTTAACAGGAACAATAGGTAGTTGAGGACCCTGCTCAAACGAGCTTACAGTCTAGAGGAGGTGGGGTATAAAACATAACAGGAAGGGTATTGAGGGAGACAGCAAACAGACATGGTGGCAAAGTAGCAGAACTGGAGGTGTGAGTGGAGAGTGGCC